AATGAGGGTGGTAAAACACTGGAACAGGTTGCCCAGAGAGGTAGTGGAGGCCCCATCCCTGGGAACATTCAAGGCCAGGTTGGATGGGGCTCTGAGCAACCTGATCTAGTTAGCAGTGTCCCTGCTCACTGCAGGGGGGTTGGACTAGATGACCTCTAGGCATCCCTTCCAACCCTAAACATTCTATGATTCTATGATTCTATTTTGCCTCTCACACTGATGTGTGCTGAATAGAGAGGAGGGTGAGTTGACAGTGCAATCCCGAGCCCGTCAGTGCCTCCATATAATGGTGTACTGAGAAGTCAGCTAATAGCCTGGCGGTAGGTACCCCACACCTTGCCTTACCAGAACACAGGATGGGTGAGCTCACCCACCTCTCGCCTGCTGTTTCTCTGCCAGTACTGTGTTCTTGTGACAAGGTGCCTTGCCCAGTCTCCCCAGCGCCAGTGCCAGCTCTGCTCCCTTTTCACTCTCTTGCTGGCTTTTAGGAGATGTTGCTTCTGCAGTGTTTCCCCAACACGACCACTGTATTTCTCTGTGGCAGAACTCAATACCGAAGCGCTTTGAAGAGCCCTGCAGCTCTTACAGGGTTTGCAGGACTTCTGCTTTGTGTGGAACAAGCCAGTTCAGCACTGGGCAGCGCTGACCTGCCCGGCTGGCCTCTGAACATTACTCTGCATTAGCTCTTTAAATGCGCAAGTGCACCCCCCTGCAAATTTCTCCCTCCTGTCCATGGACTTTGTCTCCTTTCCCCTTCCTTCACACACACACATGGCTAAGTCTCATGGAAACATGGACAGGTTTGTGCAATGTCTTACTGCTTAGCTGGCACTGCCTGGTTCTTCACAGCATTTGTGATGGAGTTTCTCCTCTGCTATGCCTTCTGCTCTCCATGAACTGTCAGTCCAAAGGGTTTTGTGGCTTAATTATGACATGGATTGTGTAATCTTTAGTTCAAAAGCTAGGTCATAAATGAGAAACAAGTTCACATGTAACTTGACTGAGGTCATCATGAGAGCATGAGACACCATTCTGCCTGGTGGATGCTACTGGCTCAGGCAGCACAGCCAGAGTATTTATTCACATACACAAACATGACGGTTATCTACTGCTAAAATTGGTTTATTAAACTTGCAGTGCCTCAATAAAGGAGAAGCAGTAGCTGGTTTATGTGACCTCAAGTAGAGGCAAGACCAAAGGATGTTTAAAGCAAGCTTACATCTGTACAAAACCAGCAGCTGTGGGATCCTGCCTTCATGCTTCTTACACATGCAGTTTCTCAATAAAATGGCCAGATGTCTGGGACCTGTGGTTTTTTGCTCCACACTTGTTAAATGTGGAAGTTCTTCGTTGCTTTGGAACACTGCCTCTGTGGTTTGCTCATTTGCACATACTGCCCTTGCTAAAAATACCTGGTCATCCAAATGTCACTTGAAAAATAAGTCTTGAAAAAGTGTTCGCTGCCACAACCTCCTCAAAGGCCTGCGAGAAGGGAGCGGTCGCCTTTTTCTGGCTTCACCTTCACTGTTACACACATTTTTCCAAGCAAAATTTAATTCTCCCTTTAAGGCAAATTTGTCATTTACTATAATTCCCGTATCACTAACATCTCAGTATCTTTGTTTTCTGTTTCAGGGACCTGAAGCATTCATTCTTCCGCAGATGCCATTTGCACTTGAGCCAGTTACACTTGGACATTTCGAAGCTGGACATACTCAGCAGCTTTCTCAAGTTTCCAACAACCAACACATTCGTGCACCTAAAATTTTCCAGTGTGTTAATATTTAAACTACTTGGTGTCTCAGGAAAAGGTGATTTTGACCCAAGGACATTGTTGTTCTGGAATATTAGCATTTCAATTTCTGTAGAAACTAATTACTTTTCAGAGACGTGGCATAATCTCATCAAACAAGGCAATACCAACGGGTGGCACTTCGCAGGCCTTCCCATTGTCCGTGCCTTCTGGTTTTGTGGCAGTTTTTCATTTCCAGCATGGTAAGAAATGGCAGGCCTTTGGTTCTGGCGTGGGCACGTTGTCCTGTATTTCGCCCACTCGGCACCAAACCTCTATAGCAGAGCAGTGATCTTCCTTTGCGGCGTACAAAGGCAGCTCTGCTTTGTTTTCTTTTCTCTGCTCCCGCTGAAGCAGAGCCAAGCCAAACAGGAACAGCAGGGGACCTTTTGGCCAGTTTTGCTCGCGGGCGGTCGTTTCTCCTGTTTCTTCATCTCAGGACCACACATAAAATTTCCTTCTCCTTTGTGCACAGACGCAAATAACCAAATTGCTAATAGTCTCTTACTGTCAACCTCCCTGCTCCACATTCTGTGCATTTTATGTATTTCTGGACTTTTCGAGGCCCAACTGGAAAACGAGAGGGTAGAGGGTGGTTTGCCAGTTAAACTGGCACTGAGCAACTCTCAGCAAGTCAAGGGGCAAACTGGAAGAAGTTTATCCCTCTGTAGCTTACTTTTCCCTCTTCTCTTCCCAGGATTGATTGCTGCAGTTGTGTTATTACAAGTTCATGGCTAAAAGGATCACTGTTTTTTTAACTTTTATTTTTAAATATAGAGATATAAATACCTTCCAAGTTCTTACCTGCTGGCTCAGGGACTGACACTTTTTTCTAAATATGCTATTGCTAGTAACGGTAGAGGTTATAAAAATTTCTACAACAAAAACATTTCAGCCTTTTTATTTCCAAAGTATCACATCTGCAATCAGAAAACCCCCAGTTTTCTCGAGTGTGCTTATTTGCAGATGCAGATTTGTACTAACGCATTTTCTTACCATTAATTTTGAAATGCTCTCTTGCACCTATTAATAGAAGTTTGACTTCCATGTGTCTCATCTCTTCAGTTATGGCTCAAGGCCCGTCAATGAACCATGTCTTCATGGATGTGTTCTGTAAGAATTCCGAATCTGTAAGAGAAAACAAATCAGAAACTTGTGTGATTCGTAATACAATAGACGTTATTTTATTTTTTAATTTGTCTTCTGTTGCTTCATTTCCAACTTAACACGTATTTAATCAGTACCTAGCAATGGTTTTAATTGTGCATTTTGTAGTAGTTCGAATGTGGCTCAGAACAAGTTCTGACTGAGGCACTCAGGACAATTCTCCATATTTATTTTGTACGATCCAGCAAACTGTTGAAACACTGTTCCTACATACTTGTGCTACCACTGCTTCGGTGCAGTAGCGTAGCAAATTGGCTGGCCAGGTAGCAGTGCTGAAAACCTTAAAAACCTTTCTTCTGGAGGAAATAGGTGACTGCAGGCATCCTTCCAAGGATGAAATTATCTGTGGCTCCACACTGGGCAGTGATGTTGGTAAGGTTCTGGAACGTACTGCCTTTTTACTCACTGGTGTATGTGCCTGTCCGTGCAGCTGACTCGGCCTGGAGCGGCTCTCTGGGGGCACCTACCTCGCTTCCGTACGGGGAGCACGGTATTGAAGCTGGATGCCTGAAGCAACTGCTTTGTGTTCTCCTGAATACATAACCCACCCAAAGTTAGCTACTTCCAACCTGAGTGTGAACAGTAGGCATTTTTCATTGCCACACTTGTGTTTTTCTAGTTTTTTAAGCAAGACATAAAAATCAGGAGAAATGTGTTTCTGGCACCTAGCGAATCCTCTCACAGTTTGACTTGTCCTCACTACCCTGAAGGCAGATGCAAACGGGCACCCAGGCTCTGCCGATGTTTACTGTGTTTACAGGTGGTGGTGATTTGGCCCAGTTCGGGTAATGGTTTAGTGCCGTGTCTTTTCTTGTGATTAAGTAAGGTTTGCAGAATGTCCTCAGACATGCAATCTGTGTTTCAGGTCTCTGAAGCCTTCAGACATCATCTATTTTTCAGCAGACAAAAGCATGTTCAAGTTGGTTTCAAGTATAAATAATTTAATCACATGTTTATTACTCTTTTAAGTCAGGTGCTTATTTAAAATCCTAGCGTGTATCTCCTAGGGGCAGAAAACATGTGCATTGGTTTAAATGCTTCTTCAGTTTGCTGTGCTTCTCCGGAGTTCTTGGTTGTAGGCAAACATTTCACTTAAAAAGAGGTCACCAGTAATGAAGCGAGATGAATTTTTACGGGTGGTCTCAGGAAACGGTTCGCGCCAGGTCATCCGTTTCCTTCTGTTTCGTAAGCTGCTGAGCGGAGTCAGCGCCACCCGCGCTGTTCCGGCCATTCTCATCAGCCCCATCAGCACCTCGGGCTGCCCGGGTTGAAATTCCCAGTGTAGCTGTACTTACCGATAAGGCGACAACTGTATCAAAGGAGTGGACTTTTAAGTATTTGTCTTCTAAACCAGGTCACTGCTGAAGCTGAGCATTGCATAAAGCAGGCTGAACCAGAGGGCATGATCCCGGTCGCTGCTTTCCCCTCGACTATTGGTCGGAAGCTTTTGGTCGCTTGTTTTGATCTATTCTAATGAATGATTTATCCTGGTTTCTGCCACGTCCTCCCGCGAGTAGCACTGCGCCCTGCCAACCACGCATTGCTGTAGGTGTGGATGTGGGTGCTGGTGTGGGTGCTGGTGTAGGTACTGGTTGACTGGGGGGTGCACTGCCCTGTACCAGAGGCGCCAGTGCTCTGCACTCATCTCCTGAGTCCAGGCATGGGCTTGTTCGTATGTGTTACCCTGAAAGCTTGGATGCTCTTTTGTTGTTAACAGGTGGAAGAAATGCAAGAACCTGCATCATTCAGATGCTTACAAAGAGTTATGAGAAACGAGTGGCAGAAGCCAAACACTAAGCTCCGCTTATTTTCTAGCTTACCAAGGGAGGTGCCATGGTAAGTTTTATCTGATTCAGGAAATGCTCTGTGTAGCACCAATTTATGTGCCATTTTACCATTCGTTTTCCAAAAAAACCCCAAAACCAATGTTAAGAGCTGGTGCTTGTTCTACAATACAGTTTTGTCAAACCAGAAACAGGCGCTACTGAAAGAGCTTTTACTTAGTGCAGGGCAGTGGGAACCCTTAGAAGAAAACTGATGGTGTATTGTCAGTTGTATAACTCATACCTGTGATGACGTGCACATTTAATCACACCACTCCTTGAAAATAAATCATCCCATCTCCCATAAGGGTAGATGCAGCGTAGGCCATATGCTGAGGCTGAAAAGAAGCAGGCTCTCCTCCTCAGTTGTTGGCGTACAGGAAAAAGCCGCATTGCTTCTAAATGACAGTGGTTTGTGTTTAAAGAAGTGATGTGCAGGTTTTATATGGAAAGAGAATATCCAAATGTGATAGGTGGAGCCTCCCATCTTTGCATGGCCAACCCCACAGGCCCTACACTTCCATTAAGAAATTAAAAAATAATAAACCAAGAGCTTCTGAATACTCCCAGCAGTTTTGCTATGCTGTCTGTGGGGAAATGACCTGGCAGCGGGGAAGGAGGCCTGCATCGTTTTCAAGGCAAGGCAGTCGGCATTATCAGCATTCCACCAGCATCCAGGGAAGGATACTGTGGAAGAAGAGCGCAGATATTGCCCTTAGAATAAGTCCGGAAACAACTGGTACCCCAGATACCACCAGATGGCAGCTCTTAGTGAATTCCTCTTTTTCCAGTAGAAATGAACATGGCTAACATCATTTAAATATACAGAAATTTAATGACCTGCAAGCAAAGTTCAAGCACTGTAAAGACAGCAGCACCAGTATGTGCGCACACAGATTTTGCCCCAAGGAACTACCCCAGAGGACCGTATGTACCTTGGAAGAAACCTCCCATGGTGATGGGAAATGAGATGATGTTCTCCTGTACAACAGCACAAGGCACCGTGGGCAAAAGTCTTGAAAAGTAGGCAAACACCATCTCAGGAACTACCACACTCGAGCTAAGTACCCTCTGGGAAGCATGCAAAAGAGAAGGGAGTTTGCTGTGTGCCAAATTCCCACTGCCTTTTCCTTGGAAAGTTACATGTCGGAGGAGCAGGCTCTCGTTCTTCCCTGGAAAAAGGAGTGGTCGCTGCTTTACAGCTGAGCTTTTTGAAGAGCAGGAGAGGAGCCAAGCTCAGCTCCTTAAAGGGAGGAACCCGCTCACCCTTGTATCATACAGAGGTTTTGCTCCAGCCCTTCAATGTTCACAGGTGAACAACTAGGCTGGACCAGAGTCAAAAGGGTGACAACCCCACACAATGCTACAGGCATGGGGAAGAGTGGCTGGAAAGCTGCCCATCAGAAAAGGACCTGGGGGTGTTGGTCGACAGGCAGCTGAATAGGAGCCAGCAGTGTGCCCAGGTGGCCAAGAGGGCCAACGGCATCCTGGCTTGTATCAGGAATGGTGTGGCCAGCAGGAGCAGGGCAGTGACCGTGTCCCTGTGCTGGGCACTGGTGAGGCCGCCCCTCAAATGCTGGGTTCAGGGTTGGGCCCCTCACTCCCAGAAGGACATGGAGGGGCTGGAGCATG